GCTTTCCTGCTTCTCTGAGGCTGCTTGGCCTGCTGTGTTCATCCAGCTCTACACCTTGTTATGTTAAAATATGGACTGCAATGTTCCCGTTGTTAGTAAGTGAATTATAAAACATCTGCAATACAATATTGTTACAGTATTCAACCGTAAGGGTAAAAAGGTATCCTATGGAAGCAACTCATTTTCCATAAGATGTGGAGGTAATTTTCCCATTTATCTCTCGACAGTAATCTGACACAACAGATTGGCAACTGGTGTAGTTCCAGCTCAATTTCCGCCCCACAAGAATCAACAGATTGAAAATTGGAACATTTCTAAAACAGTCCAGTGATCTGCTCCTTGAGATTATTGCTCAAGCATTGAAGGTGGAAATCACAGGTGTAAGATATCCTAGATTTAGTTAAATACCTCTGAGAAATAGATTGTTTTGTCATATATCTCAGCAAGTTGGACGCACAGGCTGCGAAGAAGCAAGCGAATACTTCGGGTTTCTCCTGTTACGCCAATAAAACGAACAATTTTCCGCAGATCTCTGGAACAAGAGAGACGTGTGAGCTTTGAAGCTGCTGCACAATGCGACATCACAGGAAAGAAATTGCCAACACAAAGATTTCGATGTCCTTTCTGTGCTCTAACTAATATTTCAACACAATAATTGCATTAAGTGTGACTGGGGTTTGCAGTTAAACAAGTTCAAAGAATATGTGGTGGAACGGGATTCTTTGTATGTTTTAAAATAAGTAAAAACCGAAAGAACTGTGGATGCTGTAAATAAGGAACAAAAACAAAGTTGCTGGAAAAGCTCAGCAGGTCTGGCAGCATCTGTGAAGGAGAAAACAGAGTTCACGTTTCGGGTCCGGTGACCGTTCCCCAGAACTCAATAAGTAAAATAAGTTAAAATAAGTAAAACTGCCTGATGAGGAGACTCCTACTGTCAGTTTGGTGCTTTTTAAAAGAAGATTAGAATATCACCAACTGCTAAGACATTGAACAGAGAAAGACAAGCAATGGCAGCAACAAAGGAAGGAAATCTGTCATATTCATCTGGTCTGGCCTACATGTGACTCCAGAGCCACGGCGATGTGGTTGACTCTCAACTGCCCTCTGAAATGGCCTAGCAAGCCACTCAGTTGTATCGATTGCTACAATGTCTCAACAAAGAAATGAAATTGGACGGACCACCCAACATCGACTTAGACACCAGAACAGGCAACAGCAGAAACAGCCTTGCCAACCCTGCAAATTCCTCCTTACTAACGTTTGGGAGGCAGTGCCAAAACTAGGAGAGCTGTCTCACAGACTAGTCAAGTACCAGGCTGACATGGAATCATATCTTACAGACAACGTCCCAGATACCACTATCATCATCCCTAGATATGTCCTGTCCCACGGGCAGGACAGACCCTGCAGAGGTGGCAGCACAGTGGTATACAGTCATCCTGGGAGTCCTCAACATTGACTCTGGACTGCATGAAGTCTCACGGTATCAGGTTAAAATGGGCAAGGAAACCACCTGCTGATTACCACCTACTGTCCTCCCTTGCCTGATGAATCGGTAATCCTCCATGTTGAATAACACTTGGAGGAAACAGTGAGGATGGCAAGGGCATAAAATATACTCTGGGTGGGGAATTTCAATGTCCACCACCAAGAGTGGCTCAGCAACAGTACTACTGATCAAGCTGGTTGGGTCCTAAAGGACACAGCTGTTAGACTGGGTCTGCGGCAGGTGGTGAGGGAATCAACAAGAGGGAAAAACCTTCACATTGAGAGCAACCTCCATCGTGTTGTGTGGCACTATCACTGTGCTAAATGGGACAGACTTCGCACAGATCTAGCAACTCAAGACTGGGCATCCATGAGGCGATGTGGGCCATCAACAGCAGCAGAACTGTACTCTAGCACAATCTGTAACCTCACTCAACCATTGCCATCAAGCCAGGGGATCAACTCTGGTTCAACGGAGAGTGCACCAGGTGCACCTAAAAATGAAGCGTCGACCTGGTGAAGCCACCAAACAGGACTACTTGTATGCCAAACAGCATAAGCAACAACTAATAGACAAAGCTAAGTGACTCCACAATCAACGGAGCAGATCTAAGCTCTGCTGTCCTGCTACATCCAGTCATAGATGGTGGTACACAATTAAACAACTCACTGGAGGAGGAGGCTCCACAACTATCCCCATCCTCAATGATGCAAGAGCCCAGCACATAAGTGCAAAAGATAGAGTTGAAATGTTCACAGCAAACTTCAGCCAGAAGTGCTGAGGGAATGATGCATCTTGGCCTCCTCTAGTGGTCCCCACCATTACAGATACCAGTCTTCAGCCAATTCCATTCACCCCACGTGATATCAAGAAATGGTTGGAGACACTGGATACTGCCAAGGCTATGGGGCCTGACAACATTATGTAATAGTACTGAAGACTTCCACTCCAGAACTTGCTGCTCCACTATCCAGTATACTGTTCCAGTATAGTTACCACACTGGAATCTACCTGACAATGTGGAAAATTGCCCAGATATGCCCTGTGTACAAAATAAAAACAGGACAAATCCAATCCAGCCAATTATGCCCTATCAGTCTACTTTCAATCATCAGTAAAGTGCTGGAGGGTATCATCAACAATGCTATCAATAACCTGCTCAGTGATACCCAGTTTGGGCTCTGCCAGGGCCACTCAGCTCCTGACCTCATTACAGCCTTGCTTCAAACATGGACAAAAAAGCTGAATTCCAGAGGAGCAGTGAGAGTGACAGCCCTTGACATCTATGCTGCATTTGACCAAAAGTGGCATCAAGGAGTCCTTGCAAAATTGGAATTAATGGGAATCAGAGGGTAAACTCTCCAATGATTGCAGTCATTTCTGGCACATATGAGATGGTTGTGGTTGTTGGAGGTTAGTCATCTCAGCTCCAGGACATCTCTGCAGGAGCTGGTCGGGGTAGTGGCCTAGGCCCAACCATCTTCAGCTGCTTCATCAATGACCTTCCCTCCTTCATGAGGTCAGAATTGGGGATGTTCACCGATGATTGCACAATGGTCAGCACCATTCATAACTCCTTAGATACTGAAGCAGTCCATGCAACAAAATATGGACAATATCCAGGCTCAGGCTGACAACTGGCATGCAACATTTGCGCCACACAAATTCCAGGCAATAACCATTTCTAGTAAGAAACAATCTAACCTCTGCTCCTTGGTATTCAAAGTTCATACCCTTCATCGGGTCTTCCACTATCAACATCCTGGGGGTTACCATTGGCCAGAAATTCGACTGGACTTGCCAATAAAAAGCTACAAGAGCAGCTCAGAGGCCAGGAAGACTGCAGCAGGTAACTTACTTCTTGACTCCCGAAGCTTGTCCACCATTTACAAGGCACAAGTCAGGAATGTGATGGGATACTCCCCACTTGCCTGGATGAGTGCAGCCCCAACAACACTCATGAAGCTTGACACCATCCTGGACAAAGCAGCCCGCTTGACTGACATCCATTCCCTCCACCATTCAATAGGAGTGTGTACTACCTACAAGATGCACTGCAAAAATTCTCCAAAGATCCTCAGACAGCACCTTCCAAACCCAAGACCATTGCATCTTGAAGGACAAGGACTACAGATGCACCACCACCACCTGCAAATTCCCCTTCAAATCACTTCCCATCCTGACTTGGAAATATATCACCATTCCTTCCATAAAGCTAGGTCAACATCCCAGAATTCCCTCCCTATGGGCATTATGGATAAACCCACAGCATGCGGACTGCAGCAGTTCAAGAAGGTACGTTCCCAAGGAGAACTAGGGATTGGCCAATAAAAGTCCATGTCCCACGAGTAATAAAAAAAAGCTTATTTTCATCACTCTGTGTAGATTTGAATCCAATCCTGGTAATTGGATTTCACCAAACTTAAAGCCAGTTTTGTAATTACTAAGCTACTTAAATAGTTGCCAGCTATATTTGCACATAGCGGTAATTAAAACCCTGTTCTTAATTCAGATCAATCAATTACTGTGGAACATGGTTCAGTGTATGAAAATCATTTTAACACTAGTTAAAATGTGTCTTAAGATATGCATCAATGCAGTTTAAAAGGATCTTGCCTCTGACGGCAGAAATGCTGATGAAAATCTCAAGTTTTCCAAAATTATCTGCACAAGTTTCGATCCTCTGCAAAATGTTTGAGAGTTTCTATCTGGAGGATGAGCATTTCTTCCTTTAAATTCTTATTTCTTTCCTCAACTTCACGTTTTACCATGGTAATATTAACAATTTCCAACCATTTTAATCACCATGTTTAGTCATTTAAGCAAATTTCAGATGTTGATATTTCCAAGTATAAGTTCAGGCCTTGACTTTCAATTGTCACCTCAAATTTTTTTGTAGTGATTTTTTAGTGAATAAAAATAGCAGGTTGACATCTGCCTGCTGTATATGTGTCTTGAACAGCTTAGCCATGTCTTTTTGTATTGTTTGTAGTGTGTTAAAGTTCAATTTCTGTACAGTGTATGCAGAACATAAATCAATGTTGACATAGTAATAGATATTCATTAGTTCAAGGCTATCTTAAGTACTTTACTTGAACAGTGTAAACACATTTTCACTTAAACATAATTTGTAGCCATGGATATGAAAATCTTAAAGCTAATTACTTTCAAAGCAAGACACTGAATAAATCATTTCAATGTTTTATATCAATTTACCTTCATGTGTGTTATCTGAAACTGGGTTAGCAATGCAGTAGGCTTGATACTCAGTAGAAAACACATTGAACAATGCTGAATTATTTTAGTGATTGGTACTGTATCAGGGAAGCTGAATTTTTTAATGTCAACTGTCTTGTAATATCACAAAATCCAAACTCTCCACTAAAAGGCAGTCTTGAATTTAAAAATTTGTAATCATTGGCTTGGCAAAGCATTAGACGACTCAATTCTCTGGATGAGGTAATATTTATTCAAAGGATGCAAGCAGATCACTGGAGTGAGGTTGCAGATAAGTCAGTAACAGACTCAAGGATTTAAATGATCTGCTCCTCATCCTATGCTCATATGATTTTTTATTCCACTGCAAGTGAACTAATGTGACGCACAGAGTAGATAAACTGTTTCCACTGGCTGGGGATTCTAGAACTCTGAGGTATTGTCAAAGAATTAGGACTAGGCTGTTCAAGAGAAATGTTAGGAAGCAATTCTACGCAGAAAGGCTGGTAGATGTTTGGAACTCTCTACCACAAATAGCAGTGGATGCTGGATTAGTTGTTAATTTGAAATCTGAGATAGATAAATTTTTGTTGAGCAAAAGGTATTAAGGTGTATGAGCCAAAGGCAAGTATATCGAGTTAAACCACAGATCAGCCATGATCTTATTGTTTGGAAAAACAAGCGTGAGGGGCTGAATGGCCTACTCCTGTTCCTAAGTTCTTACGTATTAAAAATCAGAAGCTTACCCAGAGACCCAATCAGAAGCCAGCAGAGATGCTTTGGCCATGAGAGCACTTTTGCCACATCCAACCTCCCCGAGAAGGATGATTGGTTTTTGTTTCGATTCCTGCAGACATTCCTTCAAGTTGAGCAAGAAAGTTTCTCTTCCAATGAAAAATTCAGCTCTTTTGAAAGATTAACGGTCAAAAACGTTAATTAGAACATTGAACCCAAACATTTTATACAGGTAACAAGGTGCAGGGCTGGATGAACACAGCAGGCCAAGCAGCTCTGCTCCTATGATGCTGCTTGGCCTGCTGTGTTCATCCAGCCCTGCACCTTGTTGTCTCGGATTCTCCAGCATCTGCAGTTCCTACTATCTCTGATTCGATTTTATACAGGTACCTATTTTAACTCCTTAGAATCTTCTGCAAGACACTGTGACTGGAAAATATTCATTCACCTTTCAACAAATTTGTCTAAGCTTTGTAATGTTTATGTCTAAATAGTTGTACAAACTATATTGCATTGGTATAAGTAATAAAGCTACACACGACCACATTTAAAATATGTGGTTTCCTTATCAGTAAAGAGAACACCTACATATATTTTAAAATGGATTAGTTACATAATATAATGTTTACCAGTAAATAATCAATATATTTCCCATGACTGTCCATTACAAATCAGGTACAACTGTGTGGTGTATATTGACAGGTCATGACAGTTGATGGAATGTGAACAAAAACAACTCAAACAGAATTAAGCTCCTATAACTACAATATGTGAGTTTAAAATCAATACAACAGATACACGGGTGTGATTCTCAGTCTGCTTTATCTCACGCCTCACATGATACTTAACGAAGAGGTTTTGCCTCGTAATTTACAACCCAATCTGACCTCCCGTTGGAGATTAATTCCTATGAATCGTAGCTCATAACATCCACAAAGGGGTAACCTGCTTAAAAGCTGGCAACTGTACTCTGAGTGAGGCTTTAAAAATGTAGAATGAACTTGAATAAAACTAGATTGAAAACAGCAAAAGCTGGAAAATACTTAGTCAGGCAAAATCTGTCACATGAGGGATGGTTAACATTTCAGGAATTTTTTTAGAATAAAAGATGAATAGTACAGCACAAGAACAGGCCCTTTGGCCCACCAAGGCTGTGGTCTGTATCACTCTATTAACTGCCTATCGATATATCTTAAACATTGCTATTGTATTCACCTCCACTAACTCCTCTAACACTGCATTCCAGGTACTTAACTCCCTCTGAATAAAAAGCTTGCCTCTCAAATCTCCTTCAAACTTACCCTCTTTTACCTCACTTATAATGGAGAAAGAAAATATCCTATCTTTAATGTACTCTGATCATCTCAGTTTTGGTTAACATCCCATCCCTGAATGTTTCAATTAAAAATCATTAGCTAGCATTCTGAGTGATGCTATATTTAAGTACTCAAGGAAACAGAGTTGGGCAGACTATTGATTCACAGGCTCTGTTGTTAATGGAGAGGTTTGGAGTGGGGTAGCAAGACATCTGAAACTAGGGAATGTTCAGCTCCTTCTGAATTTAAAAACAGGGCGTTAGTTGAATTTTCATTTTCCAGCAGGCTTGTCTGGCTTATCACTGAGAAGGCCTGTGCTGGAAGGCATAGTCTGAGAGCAGAGAGGAGGGAGTCTGGGAAAGGGGAAAATTGTGCTCGTGGCATAGGTCAGGGTGAAGTGGAAATAAGACCTCAGCAGCATTTAGAATGTCGAATGGGAGCCTGATCCCAGCACATTAGCTCTGGCCATCCAGCAAGGGGCAACACTGCTCAACGTTTTCTTTGTTCACAGAATGAGGGCATCGTTCACTGGCCAGCTTTTATTGCTCATTGCTAACAGAATCATAGAGTCACACAGCATGGAAACAGACCCTTTGGTCCAACCTGTTCATGCCGAAAATAATTCCAAACTAGACCCACTTGCCTCCTCCTCGCCCATATTCCTCCAAACTTTTCCAATTCACGTACTTATCCAAGTGTCTTTTAAACGTTTTACCCACATCCACTACTTCCTCAGCAAGTTCATTCCAAACGCAAACCAACCTCTGTGTAAAAAAAATTTCCCCTCATGTCTTTTTTAAATCTCTCTCCTCTCACCTTAAAAATGTGCCCCCTAGCCTTGAAATCTCCCATCTTACAGAAAAGACAACTACCCTTAACCCTCTCTGTATCCCTCATTATGTTATAAACTTCTAGAAGGTCACCTCTCAACCTCCTACACTCCAGTGAAAGAAGTCCCAGCCCATCCAGCCTTTCTTTATAATTCAAACCATCCATACCAAGCAACATCCTGGTAAATCCCTTCTGATCCCTCTCCAGCTTAATAATATCCTCCCTATAACTGGGTGACCAGAATTGGACACAGTATTCCAGAAGAGGCCTCACCAATGTCCTGCACAACCTCAACATGACTTCCCAACTTCTATAATCAAAAGACTGAGCAATGAAGGTAAGCGTAATTGTCCACAAGGAGGTGGTACTAAGCTGTCTTTCAGAAGTACCCCAGATAATGAGGGTTTGAAGAGTCAGGTCACAGACTAACCTTCAAATTTGCACCCTTTGGATGGCAGAACAGGCCCAAGAGGTTAAATCACTGACTTCCATGCTCATATGCCCAACCAAATGCTCTGTATTCACAAGTATATTGGATGTAAGACATTGTGTATAAGTTATTTGGTGTGTTATTCTTTGAATTCCCAAAAGTATGTTATTCTTTGAATTCCCAAAAATAACACATAGCGACAGTGGAATTGGCTCTCCTTTGAAATTATGAAGTTGTTAATCACCGATATGTTCTACAAAACTTCTGTAAGACTCACAGTGTCTGGCAATGATGTACATGTTCTAGGATCTCTTCATTAACCCAACGTTTCATTGTGTGGTACCTTCTCTCTGGCCCTCTCTTAGTATTCAGTGAGCCAATGTTCCTTTGAAAAACAAAACAAAGTTGAAAGCTGAGGAAAAATTATCTTCTACAAAAGTGCAAACAAATATTACACATTTAACTATTCAAAACTACGTCTTCCTGCTAGAGATAAAATAACATCTTATTTTAACAGCAGAAACACAAATTCTTTGTGAATGATATGTTGATAAAATAATACCAATTGATTATAACTCTTTCTAACACTGAATTAATTTTAAGGGCAGACATTAATTTAAGTTGGGAATCAGGGAGTGACCTGTCCAATCAGCTTCAGTGTGCAACCCGGGAGACAAAAGAACTTTAATAAAGATACCAAATAGCACATACCTGGACCCCTGCTGCAGGCCAGTCACTGTGTCAGTTGCCACAATCGTTTAAATTAGGCCCCTCTTTCTCTGGGGCAGTTAAGTTTGAATTTCAGTTGAGTAAAACTATCACAGGATGACGAGGAATGTAGCCATGTTACAGGCTCCACCCCAGCTGAGGGTGGGCTAAAAGCAGATGGTTAAATTTCAAAAACTGTATCCACATTTCATTTATACAACTTAGACAAAAATACCCTGTGCACTTATACAAGGATTCTAATATTAAAATACTAACTGTTGAGGAGAAAGAACAAGATGTGTGGTTTGAGCTACCTCCATGTATTACACTTGATACCTACATGGTCTGGGATGGTAGTGTTAGGGTATTATGGGGAGGAACACATCGGGACACAGGACTCTGGGGTTCCCCTGCGCTCAGGGCTTTTTGCAGGGGGCGGGGCACTGAGTAAGGAATAGGGCCTTCAGGAGCAATATCAGGATCTCTGATTTCTGTCCTTGGACCTGACACCATGGATATAGCCCTTTGTTGTTCAGTTCCCTTGGATTTGAGGTTTGGGTGTCAGGTTTCAGTTGCACACTGTAGTGGCTGCTCCCATAGACTAGACCATCCACACTTTGAGTCTGCTACATCTCTGGTTCTACCTTGTCCAGAAATGCAGCTCAAGTCTCACTTGCTCCAGAGGTTGTAACAACATTTTTGAACTGGCTGAGTGAACACAAAAGGTAACTGCAGGCTGACTTTCAGGGATTCCAACAACTCTTTTATTTAGATCTGTAATTTGTATTATTGTACTTTTGCATTATACATTTCCAGGACATTTGTTTCATTCCTCTTCTTAGAGTCTTGACAGCATATAACTGTTATTTTACACATCACTAAAATAAGCATCGCCTTGATATTATACTGTGCATCCCTGTCCTGCACCCCTTTCCGTATCCACTGCTTTCAACTCCACCATTAATCCCCAGCCCATCCCCACAATTTTGCCAACATCATTCATCTCCCAGTTTGCTGCTTTGATCGTAAATGATGTGCTTTTGAAGGTGAATGAATGAAAAATCAGGAAAATTCAGCTTTTCCTCTTCATTGCCAACCAGTGACTGAAATGAGTCGTCAAGATCTGGAATAACCCAAGATGGGGATCTTACTTTCAAGCAAGGTTTTCGCGAGACAGAAGACTGTAATTTATGTAAAATATGCACACCTGTCAACAGGAATTAGTTCCAACTATCTATGAGATGTTTCATTTCCAAAAGTTCAGATCACAATGATAATCTGAAAAATCTAAGCCTTCTCTGTTGTACAATGGAACAGTTAATATTAGACACTACATTAAGCTCCATCCAGTCTGAATACGTCATAAGGACTTAAGTGAGGGGTAAGGGGAAAGACACAACATCTCAGGATCTTGAAAGGAACAGGCTTGCTATCCATGATCTCCCAATATTTTGAGTAACAATGTTTATCTTACTAATGTAATTTGAATCTGATTGTTATCATGCATTTAACTACATCTTGTTTAAGAAAAGACCCTCTTCTCATTAGACTACTTCATGGTTTTCCTCAACCACTATAGACCATGATGGGCCTGTGCACTTAGTCAGAGAATGAGGATAATGACAGCTATCTAACTAACAACATGTTGGCAGTAGTTGTCACCAAATGCTCATATGACATCCACAAATATACAATTTGCAGGTCCTTGAAATGAAATGTGAAAAAACTTTGCTTGTAGAAAGGAATCAATGCAGAGAAGAAATCCTCCTGGGTAAACCCTTAGTGCTTTCGTAGAATCCCTACAGTGTGGAAACAGGCCATTCAGTCCATCCCAATCCTCCAAGGAGCATGTCACCCAGACCCAGCACACCCCACCCCATCCCCGTAACCCGCATTTCCCATGGCTAATCCACCCAGCCTGCACATCCCTGGACACAATGGGCAATTTAGCATGGTCAATTCACCTAACCTGCATATCTTTCGGAGAAAATCGGAGCACCCAGAGGAAACCCATACAGACATGGGGAGAGATAGTAGGAACTGCAGATGCTGGAGAAACAACTGCACCTCCCAGTCGCGAACCATTTCAACTCCCCCTCCCATTCCTCAGACGACATGTCCATCCTGGGCCTCCTGCAGTGCCACAACGATGCCACCCGAAGGTTGCAGGAACAGCAACTCATATTCCGCTTGGGAACCCTGCAGCCCAATGGTATCAATGTGGATTTCACAAGTTTCAAAATCTCCCCTCCCCCCACCGCATCCCAAAACCAGTCCAACTCGTCCCTGCCTCCCTAACCTGTTCTTCCTCCCACCTATCCCCTCCTCCCACCTCAAGCCGCACCTCCATCTCCTACCGACCAACCTCATCCCGCCCCCTTGACCTGTCCGTCCTCCCTGGACTGACCTATCCCCTTCCTAACTCCCTACCTACACTCACCTTTCCTGGCCCCATCCCTGCCTCTTCGACCTGTTTGTTTCCTCTCCACCTATCCTCTCCTCTATCCGCCTCCCACTCTCTCCCTATTTATTTCAAAACCCCCTTCCCCTCCCCCTTTTCTGATGAAGGGTCTAGGCCCGAAACGTCAGCCTCTCTGCTCCTATGATGCTGCTTGGCCTGCTGTGTTCATCCAGCCCTGCACCTTGTTGTCTCGGATTCTCCAGCATATGCAGTTCCTACTATCTCTGATGTTTCCTGTGCACAACTTTTGGAAAGTGTCACCTTTCATTTGATATATTAAAAGAAACCTCTGTCTTCCCTCTCAAGGTGGTGTAAGAGATCCTGGCGTGTTATTTTAACGAAGAGCAATTAAGGGAGCTCTCCTCGATCCCTTAACTAGCATCACTAAAAACAAATCATTTGGATATTATCACAGCAAGCATTGATGTTTTTGGTACCTTGCTGTATGCAAAGTGGCTGCCGTGTTTCCGAAATCACAAGAGTGACTACACTGCAAACTGCTTCACTAGCTGTGAAATCTGTTTGGTGCTCTTGAGGACACGATGGCTGCTATAGAAATGCAAATCTTTACTTTCACGATGAATGAAAATATTTTTAGCAACCGCAGTCAAGAATATTACAAGGCGACTGACGGAAGAGCAGGTTCCCAGCCCTAACCTTTGACAACTTCTGTCGTGTGACATGCAAAGATTCACCAGAAAGTTCATAAAAACCATCACGTGAATGCAACCATGAATCTGAGCAAAATTTGGGCTCAAGTCTAATTAACTCACTACTAGATGAGAATTGAACCAGGAATATCTAGTCCGTATAAATATTGTTAGTCAGACGGTTGCATTTATCCAGTAGACCAGAGACATGAAAGGGGCTTTTACTCAGTTCCTAAAGTGCAGGTGATCAGTTCTCCAACAGAGACCTATGAGAATTACAGTGGTCTTTCTTGAATTTTCTAAAGCACCATCAAAGGCTCAGTCATCCTGTTGTGGAGTCAATAGGAAGAAGGAACATGTTTTATCATTGCCTTGAGCTGCAGTGACTCAAATGCAGTTTGTGGAAGCTCCATGAAACACAAGGCCAGGACAGGGTGGAGACCGACGTTGACTTATCTATTGCCTATTCTCCTTATTTCCCCAAGGGCAGGAAGATGAACCTCTGCCCTCTTTGTATTGCCATAACAAGAGGTGCAATTATCACTGGCTGCATTGTTTTTGCACTGTTAGCTTGACTGAACCTTCCCTTGACATCAGGAAGATCCAACATCAGAAAATTAAAAGATTGACCCGTAGCAACAGTTATTTCAGTGTTATCATTTGTGTATTGAAATCTGCCCTGTGACATAAGCAGACCAACTCCCATAGCACTATCAACCTGTTTTATTGTGGAATTAACACTGGCACCCCACATGTACCAGGCAATAACCATCTCCAACATGAGAGAATCTAACCATCGCCCCTTCCCATTCAATGGCATTGCCATCACTGAATCTCCCACTATCCTGCCCAGAAACTGGATCAGCTGCATCAATGCAGTGGTTACAAAAGCAGGTCAGTGGATTGAAATCCTGCAGACAGCAACTCATTTCCTGACTTCCCAAAGCCTGTCTACCACCTATAATGCATTAGTGATGGAATACTCTTCACTTATTCATCTTAGCATTCTTCTTCTCAGTATGAACCCTTTTCATGTCCAGAACTGAGGAAGGAAGAAGACTCTTACCTGAATGACTGGACCTGTAGCGGCACTTTTTGGCTCTGCTCTCGTAGCCTGCACACCTCCTTTGTAGCCTTCCTCATCAGTTTCTCAGCCTTCCACTCCTGCTTTTGTTCTTCTTTCGTTTGTTCAGCCTGAGTAAAGCACATTCATTACACTTTACATCGAATTTACCAAATATTTACAATGTGCCTGTAGGTTCATAAACTCTCACATTACTTCTCACTGTCACCATCCACCTATCCTTAAATGATCTGACAGAGTTTCTAAAATTGCCAATTTATGGCCTATTTCTAAAATTGAAATAGACGCAAGGATGTCCTATCATGCTGTCAGTCAAAATCTAAATTGTAAAGAAAGGAAAACTCCTTAAAGAGGAGTATGAGGAAGTGTAGCTTTAAATTTACAAAGGTACATGTTGTGACGATACTATGCTTTAAGAGGTGTATTTTGTCCTGTTTCCTTTTGAGAGAGGTTATAAGTTTTAGGTGTCAAGCTGTCTATTG